AAATTTATAAGAATAGTGTTGTATGTACATATCAAAGATATTTTTTAAATAAAAATGATGAAATTAAGCGATAACCGAAAATTTGTGAAATTCTAGAATTATTACTCATCGAATACAGCATCATATTTCGAGTAAATTAATGAGAATTTTATATTAATTACGTAGAATAAACTTATTAAGAGGTAAATTTATATTTCTAAATCTAAAATTAATTTCTTAATAGAAATAAATGTGTATCAAATTCCAAAAATTATTTTAGCTTTGAGACGAAGCTAAGAAAGTATTGGTATTACTATGAATGTGTTTTTTTAAGTATGTCCATGGAAATTCTCAGCTCTCATTGAACCGATTTCAACGATTAATACGTCAAGAGAACCTAATTTTTACCTAGTTAAACTTATTTTCTCCAAAAGTTGGTAAAAACTACCTCAATTTTAGAAATTTAAAAAAATTTCTCAAAATTACAATACTGTAAAACATGGCAATTTTCAAATTATTTTTCTGCATTCAAAAACTACTAGAACCTTTAATTTAAATACTAATCGGCCCTAATGAAATTTTAATAAAATTTACTAGTGATAATTAGTTATCTTCTGGTGTGCTTTTTTTGAATGTTTAACAAAAAACTTAAGTACAAAAAGGGTTTGAAAGAAACATCCCACACATGTATAAAAAAAATTTTTTTAACTTGATTTTGGAATGGGTTCCATACGCCTTTTTTACCAAGCATTTGTAAAATTATAAATATACATATAATTTTGAAAATTGACAAATTTGCACCTAATCATTTTTTAATATAGTGATGCAGTTCACTGTCAGATATCATCTATACTTGTCCAACTATGCTGCGTCCCTACTATACCGCGACCCTACTGTGATTTTTTTTTTCAATTTTATTATCACACGAATATATTAAAGAGTTGGACTAAGTTAAAATGGCTTTTAGAGCCAAAAAGATCTACAAATTTATTGACGACTGTTTAACGTTTGCCAACAAAATAGCCATTGTCCTTTATACCATATGCATATATCAGAAAAACAACCCCAAAAAATAAAAAGAGAAACTCGTTGTAAACTCATAGGTACACATTTTTATGTGTACCCTTGAAATTCAATCGGATTTTCTACACGTTTTATTTCAATAATTGAACTGTGATTGATTTCGTTCGATACAAACTAAAATAGAAATAAAAATAAAATAGATTTCAGACAATATATCTTGTAGGTTTTTTTTTATTCCAATACTTTTATTGGATGATTTTAAAATAGAATAATGATTAAAATACATTTACTTCTTAAAAAAATAAAAACATTTCGGTTAACGACGATAAATTCAAAACTTAAAATCGTATTAATTCTAACAATGTGCGACTTTTTTTTAATGTATAGCATTTTTTTTAATATATAAATTTATTTCGTTAAAAAAATTTTTTTGAATCCTTTTTTATCATTGAGCAAATTTTAAAATTTCCTCTGAAATCGAATTAAAATTCATACATTACAGTTAATTAATATCTTATATTACATTAAATTTAAAAGCTTATGCGCAAAACAGTGTTAAAAAAAGTTAAAGATGAATATAATTACTAAATTTTGAAAAATGTTGCATTATCTACATTTATTTTATTAAATTTATTATTGCATTATTTTTAAAAATAAATTTTAGTTTTACAAAATGTTTAATGTTTAAAATTTTTATGATTATTTATTGTTCTAGTAAAAACTCAAAAGCTGTATACATTATTATAATATATATTTTTACGTTATTAAACAAACTATTAAAGTAATGAAACCTGTTAGCATTAACAGATTTTGATTAAAAAAATTGTGTTCATTAAAGAAAGTTAATAGAAACGCATATTTTTCAATTTGACAAAATTAAAGAATAGGTATTGCAAATATTTTTTCCATTATAAAACAATAAATTGTTTAACCGGAACAACTAAATTTAATTAGTACTGTTATTTATTGCTTTGGTTTTATATGTCTTGTAATAACACCCAATCTTTTCTCGGAAAAAAGAAATTGTACGTTTTTGGCAAGAAACACTAGTAAACGAATATTCTTTTTCGTGGCAAACCATGTTTTTGGCAGTAAGTTGGCTAGGTTAAAAGTAGAACCAACACAAAGATTGGAAAACTGTATTGGACCACATCGGAAAATTAATGTAATACAGGAAGTAAGATGTGCGAAACAGATACCTGTGGATCACAACATTTGTGATAAACCTAACGAAGCTGCCGGTCGGAATTGTCTTCTCGGCGGTTGTAAATACAGCTGCGGTTTAAGTATAAATCAGCGTTTTTGGTCAAACATCAGAAACCAAGTGTCTGTCACACAATTCTTTTTATTGCTGTATATTTTTTACGCATTTCTAAAATCGGGAAAATTTGTCTAGTTTCTTAGTTCATTTCCCCTGAGGCTCATAATTTCAGGGTGCATTGCAACGCGTCGTCTGTTCTTTATTGTAGACCGCCGCATTTTACTTGAACGTACATGACACAAAAAAGCGTCTTGTAATTCTCTTAAAGTTTATTTCCTTTACCATACTGTGTGATTATAGACATATTTTCACATAGAAGGCGCCAACTTGTTTATTACGTTTTTAAGTATCGTTTATGAAATAACTCAGAAACCCTGCCACAAAATGCGTTGTAATGTACTCAAAAATTACAACTTTCATCTATTCTTGAATTATTTGTATCAAATACAAAAATTGTAATTATTATTTTTATGTGTATCTATAACGAATCTTTTAAAAAAACTTCAATTCTGAAAATTATTTACTATCTGATTGAATTTATAATCATACATTATATAAATAGTGATTAAAAATAATGTAAGTCAAAAAATCAGCTCTAACGAGTTCTAGATCAGTCTAAAGTAAATAGGTTTATAAAATACGTTAATTTTATATGAGATAATAAGTTTGGATATTTTTGAACTTTGATTAAAATTAAAATATTTTATATATTCGATTAACTTCTTTTTTAATTTACAGCTAAAACTTTAATTTATATTATTTGTCTTTAAAACTTTATAATCAACCTTTGCTAACTTGAAGTTCGGAAAAATTAAGAATTTGACAAAATATTCTCAAAACAACTCTGTAATTACAAAGTTAGCTATATTGTTTGACATGATTTCATTAAATATTCAAGGTAAAACTCTACAACAAAGTAATCTTCACAAGTAATATAACCTCTGGAAATTGAAATTAATTTTCATCTATTATTTGAAAAATTATACTGAGACGAACTTGAGTTTAAGAAACCATCATTTCCATGACCATGCTAAACAAATAATCCTTCTAAAAATAATATAAACAGCATGCTTTATTCAAAAAGTATTTAAGTTTTTCAACTATGACTGTTTATAATACATACTTGTAACCACAAATTTTTTCGAGAAGTATTTAACGATTTTCTTTTGTTGCAATATTATTTTAATTAAAATGTATTGACTACAAAATTAAAATTATAGTATGCATTATAAATATACACCTGTACGAGCTGCACCCGTCTGTCTAGATACACATTTTATACATTAAAACGCTTGTTCTAACTCATTCGAAAACATTTATTGATCCGATACAGTTTTTTACGGAAAAATTCAAAAAGACAGATATATATCATTTTGAAAATATCATCAAATATTTTTATTGTTAAAACCAAATAAGAAATTTATAATTTTAATATAGTCTAAAAATACATAAATGATTAAATTAATACAATGAATTATTAATTGTATCAAAACTAGTTGTCAGTTAGATACGTTCCACTCGATATAGGAAATCTAATAAAATATTACAATTTTTACCATATGCTCTTATGGAATCCAAGTAGCTGACAATATTGCATTTTCAGGTTAAAACATATCCCAGCGGTCTTAACTTAATACAAATTGTAGCAGCGTCTAAAAGAATATCTGAAACTACCCAAGAATAGCTCAAATACGCAATCTAAAACACTTTTTGAGGAAAATATGAAAGGTCGATCAGGACTATAGTAATGATCGTTTGATTTTAGTGCCATGGCACCAATGTCGTCATCGCCATCTCTCAATGTGCACATTAGACACCCCGACCTGGTACGGCCGGAAGTTTGGCTCAGTTTCCGGTAGTGAGGTGCCAAAAAATCGTTGACCGTTTTATCTAGCAGCCCGAGGAGACACCTTGAACACGTGCGCAACATACATACTTGCGATAGCACGCGGAATAAGATTTACTGAAGGTCCCCTTGTCTACCACCACGTCCCCATTGGCTTACAAGCACTATAAAACCCGTTGCCAATAAATACACACGGTTGATGTTGCGGATTCAGCAACCTCGCCGTCGTATTAAACACATTACAACTTTCCCCTTAATACCTCATACTCGTCATGTATTATGGTTATATAGTTGCATTTTATATCACTTTACCATCAACCGTCCATTGTTAAATTTATTGAGATCTTTACCGAGTTCATTTTGTAACCACAAAACGATTATTTTTAATTATAGTCTTACCCTAATTAACATTTTAATAACAAAAGAGCAATGTTATCGCTCGAATAGTTTTAACAAAACCATTAGATACCTTTATTGTTGGATTTTACTAAAGAGGCAACAACCATTATTTGTTTAGTTAAAGACAACAGAAAAAATGTTAACGACATCAAAGAATTTCACTTAGATAATAAAAGAATCATGAGGACTTATTAACACACAATGAATAACAATTTGTTGCTTATATTAATTTAGATTAATAAAAATATTCTATAGGTTAAAAATTAAAAATATTTAGCCATTTATTATATATGAAGTAACTTGACTAATTTTATATGAAACTAAAATGTTATACTATATTATATTACATTAAATTATTAAACTGAAATATAGTTGAAATACGAATGTACAAATAATTAATTACTTGTACTAATATTAATTATAAGTGTGTACCATTTTTTTTTATGATTTATTATACTTAATTTCAATCAATATAAATTTAAAATATTTTAGGTGTCTTGGGTTCGTCACCGCGGCATACATTTATTAACTGTAGGAAGATACACCTACACTAGTGACCAAAGGTTTCAAGCAATTCACTCGCCACAAACAGAAGACTGGACATTACAAATACGTTATCCTCAAATAAGAGATAGTGGTTATTATGAGTGTCAAGTCGGTACAACACCGCCAATAGGTCATGCAATGATATTGACAGTTGTTGGTAAGCAAATTAGTTATTCTAAAATATTAATTATTATTTTGGTGAAATTTAACCAATATTTATATTTATATTTTAATTTTAATCAAAAAGTTTTGAGTATAATGGTATTTGATAATTTATGCAGCCAAATAAGTTGAATAAAATATTCCTTGATAATTTATTACACAACGCATGTTTGAATATACAATTTTGACAATTTTTTTTCCCGTAAACATTTTTGCTTTTTATAACTCATCAATAATAATTTTTTAGCTGTTTGTTTATAATTTATTAAATGTATACTGTCATACATACATTAATGTGTTGAAAGTTAATAAAAAATATTTAAGTGTAAGATATAACAAACAAATGTTCAATTAATTCTAATAACAATAAAAATAATTAGTTTTCATTGTTATAGCTACACTTTTTTTACTACCACTTTATAAGATAACATCGTAAAACTTAATTATAAAGCATTATAATTTATTTTGTCATAACAAATCCTGTGAATCATATGTTTAATTAGAGAGCAAAGTATTAATTAATACACTCAAAGCAAAATAATTTTATTTTTAATTTAATAAATTTTAAACATAAAATATCTGCAAAAAAAGTTTTTCACAAAAAGTAGTAATAGTTATTTAACATAGGCTTAACTTATTTTTTCTTAATTATGAAAAAATTGTATTATTAAGTTTTAAAGAACCCTTCAGTATTTTTAATACTCCTCTTAAACCTAATCAAAAAATCAATTCTTTTTTATTCCCGTCGGTTTTAAATTAAAAAACAACACCAACCAACTTCTATGGTATTTCAACACAAAAAGTTGTCATAAAGTATAGTTTATAATTTAACAAATAAGGTCAAATTAATTTTTAAACAATCAAAATAATTTGACTAAATTTTATGATTCATGCATTCGTATTATTACCACAAAAAAATATCATTATCAAATTTCAATAATTTTACTTCTGAGTTTTTTTTATTCTTAAAATAAGGATCTTAAAGATAATAATTCTTTAGTTAATTATTTTCTTATACCATTTAAACAGTTCAATCCTAATTTTAGTATTATTTTCTAAAAACAGTTTTTACGGATTTGCTATAATGCTTAAAGCAATTACAAATTTGCTTTAAACATTTAGCTTCAATGTCAATTCTCGTTATTTTAAATTGCTGTTTATGAAAAAACTCGTCCATTTTTATGTTTACACTAGTTTAAAGGCTAATTTTTACAATTTCTGGAGATTTATCTTGCTAAATAATAATTATTAAACCAAAAAACAAACTATACTACTGCTCACAATCATCATTAAACTCTATAATTTTAATTAAAAACTCTAATTTTAAAAAGAAAAATAATGAATATATAGTAAACGAAATTTTGAGCAATCGTACTAAAATAATTAAATAACAGTAAATTTAACTTAACTTTCTTAATTGAGAAAAATGTTTAATGATTATTTCTATTTTTTCATTATATTTAAAGTATCATCATTACAATTTGGAAAAAATTTCCTTCATATTCCTTCAATTTCCATTCATTTACCGTTATTAAGGAATTCGCAAAAAAAATAATTGGCCTCCAAACATTTTTTTCAGCCTTTAACATATCTTATATTTAAAAAATAAATTCTCATAACATCTATTTATACATTTTACATTGATTTCAATCATTACTATTTTTAAATATACTTTATTCCGACAATACTGTTTTTTGGTCTAAGTAACTATACAAAATATAAAATAAAAACAACATTTAGATATATCTTAAATGACAAAATGATAATAAACTCTTCGTTAGTTCAATACCCATTCGATTACGTTACTTATCCCAGTCTTGGTAACAATATTTCATCACTTTTTCCATCATTCTTTTATATGTGACAAAAGATTTATTTTAACATCGAACAACTCAAATATATATATATATATATACAGAGTGATTTTTTTATCATAACCCACTCAATTACTTACAGAATAATAATAATTAAACATTTTTTTTTTATTACTATCTTGAGTTACACATTATTCTTGAATTATTAACTATGTAATACTTTTTAAGTTTATCCCTTATGCCTGGTAAGGGTGTCAACTTTTTTTTTTTAAATGGTAACACGTATTTTTAATTTAATAAAATGTTTGAGTTTTTAATTCAATAGTAAATGGCATTTGAATTTTTAATGAAACTTAATTTGTTTATTAGATATTAACATTTAAAGTTTCAAATTTTTGAGTTAATATATAGGTATAATACACAAGGGATTACAAATACAGGTAGCTAATTGATTTTTTATGACATCGATATTAGCAGGTACACAGCATTATTATTATCAATGATAGTAAGGTACATTGTTGTGAGTTTATAAATACACTAACTGACAATACAAAAAGTATATCTATTGATAGTCACAATTGATAATAAACAATCCGTGACTGTGATAGCAATATCATAAAAAACCAATTAGCTACCTGTATTTGTAATCCCTTGTGTATTATACCTATATATTAACTCAAAAATTTGAAACTTTAAATGTTTATATCTAATAAACAAATTAAGTTTCATTTAAAATTCAAATGCCATTTACTATTGAATTAAAAACTCAAACATTTTATTAAATTAAAAATACGTGTTACCATTTAAAAAAAAAAAGTTGACACCCTTACCAGGCATAAGGGATGAACTTAAAAAGTATTACATAGTTAATAATTCAAGAATAATGTGTAACTAAAGATAATAATAAAAAAAAAATTTTTAATTATTATTATTCTGTAAGTAATTGAGTGGGTTATGATAAAAGAATCACCCTGTATATATAAACTATAATTCTAATGAGATAACCGATACTTATTTAAATTTTAAAACCTGCTGATAGATATTTATTTGGATAAAAAAACGCATTAAAAAAATAACACTTTAACCATGTTTATGTGTAAAATTCATTTCGCAAAATAAAGAATCATTATTTTTAAGAAAATTATCAAATAAAAAAAATCTTTTAATAAAAATTTCATTGGATAAAAAACTATATGAATAGCCATGACGATTCACGTCGAAGTTTTCATTATTTGTTTTTTTGGATTTCTATTTATTGAAACAGTTATTGTTGACAGATAATATTATTTTATTTTAAGTACGTGAATTTCTCCCAAAAAATAACCACTTTGGTAAAATTTAAGTGTTTTTTATTGAAGGATATAGAAATAATAGTTTTATTAAAAAAAATTTTTAACCGAAAAGTTTAAATTTTATCAAGTATTGCGAAATGGTCAAAATTAGGGCGGTGGTTAAACTTGAGGCAGTTAAATATCTATTAGCATTTTAGTGATATCAATATACAACACTAGTAAAATGTTTATAAGTATTGTTATGGAATACGAAATGTTTGTTCACAATGATTATGCGATGAAATGTGTAAAATATTTAACTGCTCCAAATTGGTCTATTTGACGGTAATTAATTATAAACCAATTCGAAATTTTTAATAATTTACACAATCAACGACTTTTAGATAAGCCACCTATTTTAAATTTTAGGTACTCAGTAATAAATCTAAAAAGGGCGTTAAAAAATATATTATTTTTAAATAATAATAATAAAGGTTATCAAATCCGTTACTGTGAACTCATTGAAGTTAAATAAGCGTATTAGTAAGTTTTATGATTCTTTAGAATCAGAAATTCAAGAGATAGCTCATATGATATTAAGGTTTCATATTATTATTGAACGATGTGTTTATTGCTACCGATGCGTTAAAGTGACAAGGATATCAGGGTAAACAATTCTCGGATTAAGTACTTCAAAATGTTTACATGTATAGCACTCTAAACTATAAATAAACAAACATGAATATTTAGATCTAAGATAACTTCGTGCAATATCGTTATCCTAACCTAATTGTTAAATAAACGACGCTAATCCGAGGTAATGTGAAAGCAACCATATCTAGTTATAACAGTGACAATAAAAAATATATATGAAAATTCACGGAAACATGTTAATAGTTCTATTTTTAATGATACACTACATATTATACGTATGCATTATTTTGGGCATTTTTTTCTGATATAAAATATTAAAATATGTTTTTTCAAAATAACTCTACTAAGAAAAATAATATAGTTTGGAATAAACATAAACATTACTCAATCAACTATTTGTTGGTCGTGAAATTTTTACGTTAAGTTGATTTGTTTATTCTTCTGGTAAAGCCAATAAGCTTATGAATAATTTATCTTAATATATTCTTAAAGAAATCTTTATATCAATAAATTGAAAAGTAAATAAGAAATATGAATTAAGTCAATTTTTGTTAAAATTTAAAAATATATAGTCATATCATAAATACTGAAAATGTTATCATTTTACCAGAATAATACAATATTAAATTATATACTAAAAATGAACGATTTTTTCAGTATAAACTACCGTGAAAGTTTCAAACAAATTACCAAGTATTATTTAACAAAAATTAAACTAATTTCAAATATCTAAATCCGTTTTTCTTAGTTCGAAAAAATTAAACTTGCTATTATATAGAATAAAATGCAAATGAACAATATTACTTTTTACAATAATTAAAAAACTATAGTTCTTAGTATAAAATAAGACTAAATTACCAAAAACGTAAGATAGTACCTTTTACTCTATAAATTGTTTAAAATATAATTTAAATCGTTTTTGAAGACAACCAATTTTATTCTGAGGATCATTAATAATTCCTACGACTTAAAATAGTCAGCATTCAATATTAAACAAATATATACAAAAGATTTCCTTTTCGATGAAAGTTTTTTTTCTTGCATTAATACTACTTATTAAAGGCCATACAATTTAAATAAAATCGACCGTTTAAACTATTTAAACAATTTTAGAGCTCAAATCAATTATTAATGAAGAAATATTTTTTAAATAATCAACAAAAACAAAATTTAATACAATGATCACTTTTAAAGTAAATTATATTCAATAATAATAATACATTGTTGAATTATAAAAGTGGTGACAAATAGTTAAA